TTTTTAATCATTGAAAGTTACCGACTACTCACAAGTGAGTAGTATCTCACAACACAAGTAACAGGGATCCATGGATTGCAGTATTATACACCGAATGACGAATGAACTTCTACAGAGCCACCGATAACCATGGACAAATACTGCCGTTGTCAGTATAAATCAGATTTGACCATAACCTTGAGAGAGTCAGAATATCGCTCTGACTAACACAACTGGGGGTGGAATGGATTGAAAATGCGTGCTGCAGTGTTACGTACGGACGGATAGTTCTGCCCAGAGCGCTCGCGTGTGATCCAATGGGATTTTTTGTCCAGATGGAAAAGTTTCGCTAGCTCGACACTATCCCAGAAGGGGAATGTGTCTACCTATCGTGTTCAGCTATTTGGTTTTTCAAATGTCTACTGACTTCTCTCTCTCCCTCTTATGCAGCCTGTAGTACAATCGTAGTATTGGACTCTATACGCACACAGTCAATGAAACTATTTGAAGATACTGAAACTTTCTGATGGACCAAATGTCAGTATACGTCTCTGTTTGGTTTGAAGGCAATCCGGATGGAGTTTCTAACTGGATAGTGGTATATAACAATACAATAGCGAAACTAAGGAATATTTTATAATCTTTTCATTTTACTGGCAGACAGAAAAGTATTTGATATCGCCTTACACATTCGCTTGTAATAGTCAAATGTTCTTGTGAAGTTATTGAAAGAATCAACGAATCGGTGAAGTGTACGCAAAAATGGGATGAACTGGAGCATTTTCTTAGTGGATCTTTGTCACTCCACAGATTCGTAAAAGCCAGTTGTTCTTTCGATTCAGATAGACCACGTTGATAATCAGAGATTTCTTTGATTCTACGGAGATCAGTGATTTTTGGGGTTTTTATTTTGTTTATCAGTGCTCGAATCGAAGCTGTGACTTGATAATTATACAGATTCGCGAAGATCCACAAAGAAGACCGTATTTGTGCTACCATTGACTACACTTCGTGATCGACATACCGGTTTGCCAAATGTCTCCAAGGTTGCGCTCTCAAAAAAAAGGCACGCTAAGCCCGCATGATGACCTGCAGTTGATTCTAATTTATAATTCCCTGATGAAGACGGGAGAATGTGAGGGATAAACATCAGGCATTCGGCGAACACGTTTTAACCTCGGTGCATTTGAAACGGTACGGACTACTATTAAGTGAGTTCCGGACTACGGGTATCATAAGGTGTCCGGAGACGCCTGCAACAGTGGTCAGATTTCGCGAAACCCACAGTGACAGCAGATAAAATGCGATGCAACGATCGAACAGCAAGTGAACAATACACGCTTCGGAAGGCGAAGGTTGAGGCCCATCGTTGTGAGCATATTTTGGCCGTAAAGAGTAGCTCTGTTTTTCGTGGCGACAGCAAAGCTTCCCTTTTTGAAGCCCCTTGTTGTCTGTCAACCTCGAATCGTAACACATTGGTTCTCCTTTTGTGTTAAAAACTGAGTCACTTAGTTTACACTATACAAATACGATTTACCTTCTCATGAATCTCATCAAGCAAATCCAGATGTTGCAGCAACACGGCTGACGTGTCGCGATGAGCACGCAACGCCGTAACACGACGCTGGAGGTCATCCAGGATCAGATCCGGTAGGGCGGTCATACGCTGATCCAATCTACTTTGATCAAACTGAGCACGTTGCTCGCCAGTCCAAAATTGTCGAGTAAGAAAAAACCGGGGGTAGGCAAAACTAGACACGATAAACGGGGATGGAATGAAACGCAATCAGCTGCGTGGGATATGGATTTTCAGGGAACATGCAAATAAAGTATATCGAAAATATTATTTTTAGTATGAATATATTAATGAATCCATCTCCATAATTTTGAATCATCCTGCTTCTCTCTCGGGTACCACGCATTCCATCTTGATTAGTTTCAACATTGTTATTTATTGTATAGAACGTCCATAACAGATTGAATAAACAGTAAGGGGTACAATTATCCCATTACGGAATAGCAAGCTTCATTGATAATGGAACACAGTAAGCAACAGAAGTAAGGTTATTTTGATTTTTAATAAGAGCGAATAGCTGTTCTGCGGTAAACATTTCATCCACGTTTTCCATCGCCAAAGTAGCACGAAAATGCTACTGTCCAACGCAAGAAGATCCGTAATCACCAGCCGGTGATTTCTTGAAATCCCTCACGCGACGACATAGGAATCTCTCTAGACACAATGAATGAGTAGCAAACCTCAATTCATCAGTTGCTCTTTGCAGATATTTCGGATTTAACTCCTGTTTTGAGCACACACATTAATTCCAACAAATGCACTGTATGTGTACAAGGAACCTAGTTTAATCAAAACGTTGAGGATGCGCTCGTGGGAATAGACGGAGTCGATTGCTAACTATAGGATGGACAGCGAAGTAGAACAAAAACGGGAGGTGGCGTGCTAATCTACATCACTGTCTCCTTGTGCAGCAATTCGCGAGTGATATTTAAGTATCATGAAAAATGCACTAAATTTCTATCTGTTCATTGCTATCCCAAATTCTCCCGTAGCAAAAGTACAATCATTGCTAATGTGTATGTATATCTCCTTTGTGTTTTCAGATGGAAACTTCAGTTTTGTTTGATTCCAACACCTCCTTTCTTGCTCCGTTAGTAGATGAAAATCTTCACTTACATGTTGGAAACTGCAGTCATACCAGCATTTCCCCTTGCTTCCGTTTGGTCTATCTGACCTCTATCATGCTCCTACCGGAAGAAGCTGTACCAATTTATTCTCTCTCTCTCTCTCAAACTAACGGCCCTGGTTGCTACAGTGACCATTGTGTTCTTATTAGACCAAAGGTATACTCTCGCACCGCCTATCAAACAATCATATGTTCGATTCAGATAAAATTTCTTCTTGGAGAATTTTTACCCAGCCGCATCTCCCTTGTCAATCGTTTTATGGTGATGATGCCAATTTTGGTTTTTCAATGCCTCAGTCTTCTCACTGAAGCGATGACATCGACCTTACATTAGTGTTGCTCCATGAAAACCCGGTTTATCTGCAACAGTAGAATTACCTCATTTTTTTGAACTCATTGAGAAGGCACCCAGAAAGGGCCAGTAAATCTCGCCATGCGTCAGTTGCAAAGCGCTACTCTGACTTAATTAAGGCTGAGATAACACTTCGGAGCACAGTCTTCCCTGTCCAGACTCTGCAAACAAAGAACATCTAGCTTTCACCTATCCCTAATTCAACAATCTCCCAACCGATCTCGTCTTGGTTTTAACAAATCCAAGTGTCTAGTGTGTACCTTCAGTCTTTCCCGCTCCTCATTTCAAACGGACTCTACTATTCCTAACTGTAACCCCGAGACTCTTATCTTTCCAGCTAAGCAAATTCACACAAATCCGAACCTCACAGTCAATTTTGTCCCCTCTCGTTTCCCAGGTCAACTTTATTGCTTGCCTGTAGTATTTCCCGGCTTTTTAAAACAAGGCTTGAAAACCATTCGTCGTGATTTAGTGATACTCACTTGTGTATCCTCGATCTCAGTTGAGTCATTAATCACAGAACTTATTATTAGTCACAGCAACTCTTGTGTTAAGTCCCCCAGACGATCCTCCTCATTCACTGCACATGATTAATCCTCTTGTCGTTCCCATCCGTCCACATGCTCCTTCTTTCGGTATTTACCCTCTCATATTAACATTTGGGAGAATTCCCCTGTACCCTGCCTAGCCGGACGCCTAATCAACAAGGAACAGGTCGTTAGTGAACTATATCAGACTTTCTATACATAAACTGAAATTTAGCGATATTCTTCATGTTGCATATTATACGAGTTTGTATATTTTATTTGTTGTGACGACGGTGTAAATTTTTTTTTAATGAAGGGTAAGCACATGAGCTTACATACGCTGTGCAAATACGAATCCTAGATCTTGTCTATAGATATTATATATTTGCTTCCCTGGACATAAGACCGTAGTATACTGACCGGAAATCCTGGAGGTCATTTTATTAGTCCAATTCACTGCAAAGGAAACAGCTCTTCAAGCCTGTTAGTGACGACAGTTACGGTGCGTGTGGGTATCCCCTTCTGTTTGGAAAAGTGCTCTTGGCAAGGTAGATAAGGATAGTTTTCAGATGTCCAAAAGTATCTCTTAATTGCATTCTAATAGACGATGGCATTTACCTTGTCCGGAGAAAAAAACAGGACCAGCTAATCATGATCCGTGAATACCGCACTATATGAGACATTTCATGCCAATCCGTATATAACTTTCATAAAGGTCAAGATAGATTTGTCTTGTGTTAACTTATACCTTGTTCATAGCTCTTGACAATTTACACGGCGAGTAAAAACATTGACTATATTACGATCATTGACAGAGGCAAGGCGACCCCACGGTTAAGCTGTGTTCCCCTCAAAAGCCCAGCTCTGTGGCAAATGTTCGATGGACGGCTTCTATCACGGTATTGGGTGTATTGGAATTTTAGACCATCTCGTTCGATGCTCATTGCTAAATAACCCCATTCACGATATTCAAAGGATAGTGAACTTTTGCTTTTCAATTGAAACAAGACTTGAAAAGAAAACATGAATAGCCCGACACACAAAACAGAGAAATTAGAATGATGCGGGGCCCCGATTCGGGGACTGGTTAAAATGGTCACGAAATCATTATTCATCCGAAGGCGAACAGATCTCGAGGATTACGATGCTGAAAGAATCTCCAGGAGGAACCTCACTCATTGCATCTGGGCGATGTGTTCACTAAAAACAACACGGGCAAAAAGCCAATACGCGGACTGACTAGTTACGGGCAAGTAGCGCATCCAGAGGGAAGCTGAGTTTCACTTTCCGACTAAAGGACAGCCCGATTGCGAAGGTCGATCTCCGAATTGGACGGTAGGATTTAGTAGGCCTCCGTATGTGCGAAACGCATCTCAAGGAAATTGGGTACAATGGAGAAGGCACCAATCAACCGCGACCTTCACACAGTCTCCGTTTATTAAACCAAGGAAAAAGCATTGGTTTGTCAACGGATCCGGTTGAAAATCCGTGAAAAAAAATGACCTTTTCATTGCACACTATTGGGTGAACCACGACACAGGTGTTGCAAGTTGGTAAAGGCCGCTCTGTCTTTCGCTATTCGTGATGTGATCTCCTGCCTCACCACCAGTTCCAACTCCCAGTTGATCACTACAAAGGGTGAGTGCAGACACAGACTCCTACCAGTCTTGAACAAGCACTTTGATGGTGCACAGCACATGCCATAACTCGATCTTTAAGCGGTCCAAAGCGTGTTGGACTGTCTGTGTATTGTCACCCAGCAAGACGATGTTATCAGCATATTCTAAGTCAAGAACTCCGTTCCCTGGGAATAGGTCGACCCCGCCGTTTGCTAGACCGGACAAAGCATTCTGTAGAACATGCTTCCTGACAAAGTTGGAAAGGAATGGGGATATAGGGCAACCTTGTCGAACTCCACTGGAGACGGCAAAGGGTGGCGAAAGCTTGTCATAGGCCCTAACCCGACCTGAGATTTGACGATACAACTATTTGAGGATGGTCACATACTTCTCCGTTACTCCATTCCGCGATAAGCAGTTCTATAGCGCGGTCCCCTCGATGGAGTCGAAGGCCGCGCGGGCTTATAAGAACACAATGATCGTTGGTCTTTGGTAGGCATGACGGTGCATTAACAAATGCCGGGTGGGGATTTGATCGATGAGTCAAGTATTATATTTAAAAGGACTAATAGACCATATAAAACCGATTCTGTTTTAAAACATGCACATTATCGAAGTTACAGGGAGGGGGCGACTGGATTACCCCCGCCCACCATTAATCATCATGGAACCACACTACTGTTCATTTGATGCCTTTGTCAACAACAGAGAACCAACTGACCGGAATGGATGTGTTGCTACGACAAAACAAGTTGCACTTATTCGATTGTATACACACCCAATTCCCGAAAATATAAATAGTGTGTGCATTGCACATTTACATTGCATACTTCCGCCAGTTAGAATGACAAGTTACTTTTCTCGCTTTGACTTAACAAGTAATTAATTTGCTGATAGTACCGTTTACCGTAGTCGTCGGTTGGTGAGTGCTTGTGTTCCTCTCTGATGTCATTTTTGTTCACTTTTGGCCCTCTGGTGAGAAAGAATAGCAAAGACAGAACGATACGTAAGATCAGTTTACAAGAGAGGTACGTGTCCCACAGCACATATTCACAAAGTTGGCTTCTTTAGGCGAAGTTAACGCGTCACACCGCTCACTGTACGACTGTTTTGTTCTTATAAGGATACACACACAGTACACATAGGTTGAACCAAAAATAATTTCAGCCGGGTCCGGAGAAGTTTTTAATCCGGTGAGGTAATCACTCAAAAGACAGCTGCAAGTTAATGCAACATGATATAGCGCTCAACTGTCACTATCGTCGGAAGTACCGACGAATTTCTAGCAAGCAACTTGTCCGCAGATGACCACTTGGTTACAAAACACTTTGTGTCGGGCATTATCACTCAAAACCATCAGGAAGTAACAAAACATAGACATACTACCGATAAGACTTACAAAAGTGGGAACAGCAGAAAGGTTCCAGGTAGCGGTCCTAGAAGCATCAAAGGAGTGGCGCGTATCACGTCCTGAGGAACCTGTGAACAGAACAAACGGGAATGCTGGATATGGAGTGGCGAAATAAAAGCGAAAGGAATTAGAAGAGAGTTCTGTTTACACAATTATAACTTTATCCCAGTAAATAGTATTTAATCAGTCATGCAAGGGCATCCGCAACCGGTAACTTAGTCCTAGCATTGACCTGTGCTTGATAGATCAGGTTTATGAAGGTGCCAAATTTGATGGGCAAATAAAATTTGTTGTTCACCAAACCAAGGAGAAATGAACTGATCAGATGGAAGCGACTGCTGGTTTGCTTAAACGTTGTTTGCAGAATCCGTTGAACGAATTTCTTGATCGACTCGGGGATCGCATAGATAGAATGACGATATGACAGAGTCAATGGACACCGAATACGACCAAGTGAAGAGGAGATTTTGGCTTGATCCACTTGTGGCTTCTCATTTGTCTACCTTGCTTGGACAACTCTGAGTAAAGCACCCAGAAGAGGAAAGATTTTTCGGTCTGATAAACGGCTTGTGCCCGTGCTTATTCACTGGGATGGCTTAAAGGGCGAAAATGGACAGTTAAAGGTAAATTCAGTTGGTGACTAACCGTCTGGTGTTGTGAAGCTGAGCTTTAAAAGGTCTCTACCGATCGATATTTCGGATATGATTGGAGATGAGAGTGAGTGATTGAAACCGTCCTGTACAGCTCGACGTGGAAAAGTAAAATATCGGGTAACCAGTAAATGAGTTGAGATTTTGTCTTGTTAAACGGATGAAGCATGGCGAATTTGTTTGCCTAATTCTAGTGTTCGTGTTAATTTTTCAGTCAACCGTGCCTTCGAGTGCCAAAAGTATACAGGCAGTTATTACATTTGGTTCAAAACAAGCGACGAAAGTTGAGAGAATCTCGGTCTTAACGAAGTGTTGCCCACTAGATTGTTGAGGGCCTAGGCTGAAACCGTCGATGCAATGATTCATGTCGACATTTATGTTCGAGTTTGATCCAATTGATCCAATTTGATATGAATCGTTTTCTTATCAGGCTAATCGAGGTCAATCACTGTCGCGTACGTTCATTTTCGTCTACAGCTTACTGTCCCCGAGGTGGACGAACAGTCGAACCCTATCTCGTCGAAACGTACATTCTCGCTCGGAGACTTACACAAAAATTGTATTTATTTGTTTATAGAAAAATCGGCTCACACCGACATCTTCATACCCTATTCAGTCAGTATCGCTTGACGGTCGAAGCACCAATCATTTGGTAAGGATACCGGTGGAATCTGATTGGTGGTGGGTTCATTTGCAGATACAGTGGATGTAACTGAAGTTACAACAACGGTATCAGATCTAAATTTGGAACGGTTGTTTTTGAAGAAAATGCGCATCGTGCTCATAGTAAGGCCTTCCAACAGGGTCAAAACGTCTTCAACCGACAAGTGTTGTTATTTTAGTTTCCTCTCGCCATGGCTAATTCAAACATTCCGAAAAGGAAGTTACTTGAAGTTCTAATGATGAGTATACGATCTTGTTACGCACCGTAAAGTTGCCTCGGAGCGTGTACTTTTACGCTGTCCTTTTGATCTATAATTTCATTTTCGCAATATAACAAAGATGGTGTAAGACGATAAAATGCGCAAACAAACTTGATCAATTAGTCAGGTGATAACCGAATCCAAATGACTAGTTGTATCATTTTGATGACGCTCCACTTAGTGTCAGCAATAGTGCATTGATTCATTAAACTCAATCACGTGATATCAACTGTTCACTGAGTTCTCTGCCAATCGTGTGGGGCTATTCTGTTCCATCTCGTCCCTTTCGTATTTGTTTTTCTTCATAGCGGAATTTCATACTGATAACTTTACAATTTGTTAATGAACTTAGATGATTCTGATCAATGCGACTTCCCACTTACGTAGATAGTATCATTGAATAGTTCGATGCTTATAAACATCATCATTTATCATTGTACAGCGTAATACAGCGAAGCAAACTTTACTGATCGCTGCCAAACTCATAATGCATACAAGGAAAGTGTTAATGTGTAGGGAGGACAGGGATTAGACCTATTTTAGGGCGGGAAAAGAAAGCGAACCTTTACGGTCAACACACAGAGTAAACAGTTCAACGCAGTATACAAACTACTTCAAGCATTCTGGTCTGATAAGAAGTGACACCATGATTGCTATTGCTGTCGGTTAGCAGATATGACCTTCAGTATCTCTAACCATGCGGTTTCGAAGTCTTTTGGACACCGACCCGGAAGACAAGAAATACCTACTGTTGTGTCGAAAATTCAGTAGGTAAATGAGCACACAACGATTGAAGCAGTAAGTTTATTGCAAACAGCAAATATGTAACCGGTACACAAACCGGGGAACAAGTAGGAACGATCAGCATGTAGGAAGGCAGGCAGGCGACTCCGGTTCACACGTTTCACTACATGCGGATACCGTTGAGCCAGCATTCAAACAGTCAGTTAATCGATCAATCAATCAATCAATCTAACCACAGCCATGTATGGTGAGCGAATCAGTCTGTTGTCGACCAAAACATCACCTCTCCTTCCACAAATAAAGCAAGGGTTAGTCGTTTCACAGGAAAAAAAACATCGAATAATAAAATAGTGATGGCTTGCGTAGTCTAAACAATGTTTTCCTGATCCGAGCAGAAGAATTTTGCATTTTCCCAATCTCCGAAATGCAGTCCTAGAATAATCTCTGTTTCCATAGTCAGATATGAGTTGAGACGGGCAAGGTTTAGGTGGCAGAATTCCGAGAAGCGACACATAAACCTGTTTTTTCGTCGCTCTTGGTGGGCTCACTTTTTCAATTTTCAAGGGTGAAACGAATCTAGACTCACCCCTCTCCTTTTTTACCTGATGAGTCCCTCATTTTGATGGATTACGTGCGATCAGTAATGGAGTCTCAAAGTCAAGGCCCTCTATCTTGAAAAGAGTGGGAGGAAGCCCATCCGGCCATGCTGCTTTTCCTTTCTTCAGGGCTTGGANGGGCTTGGATGCAAGAACGAACTTCTGCTGCAGTAGGAGGTTTAGATGACACTGCCCACGGAGCCTCAGCTACATTGGACGAGATAGTCTGGTTAGCTGAACTGTTCGTTGAAGTACTCCGCCCACCGTTCAAGCAGTTGTTCCCTATTGTGAATAGCTTGTCCACTTTTGTCACTTTTTTCACTAACTGTGGTTCTCCGACCTCCCGTTTTGCGTATCGGTTGGAATAGTCTCTGACTATTCTCTGCTGCAGCTCCTACTTTCATTTCATTAGCTATCGTTGCCCACCAGTTCTCATGGTTTTTCTTGAGGCTCCTCGGGAATTGACGTTGTAGACGCCACCCAACCCTGTCTTGATCCCGGGTGGTTGGGATTTGCCGTTTTTTCTCCATCAGTGCGACTGACTCATCAGATATCCAATGTCTCGGGCGGGCTACTGTTTCAGATCCACAAGCAACGTTCGCTGCGGAGTGCATTGCTCGGTTAATCTGATCCCATTTTTCATCTGCACTACAACCCCGCAGCGCGTTAAGCTCTTGCCCTAGTTCTGANCGGCTGGGTCAGATAAGCGATGATCTGCCAATCGAGTTTGGTGGGATTTTCTGCGACCAGTGAGTTGGAGAGTGAATGGCATCAAAACTAACGCATGATCAGATTCAACGCAGGTGGTCCAATAGGATCTGCAGTTTTGTACTGAGTCACGCCAACGGTAGCTTACTGTTGTGGTCGATCTGAGTCAGCGTGTCACAGTCCTCATGTTGAAGCCCCCAGATTCAGTGCCTGACGAGGCTTCAGGATCTGCAATCCATTTAGTGGTAAACTGCTTACCGGGCTACTTGGCAACGAACTATGGCGAGTGACGAACAAGTTGTCTGAGGGAATGTTACGGGTCAGAAGAAGGGGTAAAGGGATAGGGTTGGGTACGGAAGACAAAGAGTTAAACAAAGGTTGGGATATCTGA